GGTGTGTGTGTGTGTGTGTGTGTGTGTGTGTCTGAGGCTTCCTGGAATTCCAAGAAGTGGGAGGCAGGGTGCTTTGGTGGGGCATGGGAGGAGGAGGGAGCATGGACGATACTGCGGGTAGGTCTGTGTTTCTGGTTGCATAGTGGCAGGTGGGCGGGGACCTGAGAGTTTTGAGGCTCAGCAACACCCGTGCCCAAGGAAAATCCATCCTGACCATGGGGTGGGGCAGGGGTGCATCGCTGAGCTAGGCAGCAGAGGTGCCCACCCTTCTGCCCTGTTCCTGTGGCTCCTGCCTCCCTGGCTTCCCACCCCCATGGCCCCTGCCCTTTCTGTGGCAATTGCCACTGTGGTCCCAGTCCTGTTCCGTGACCCCCACCCCGTGGCTCCAGTCCCTATGTAGCTCACAGTCCAGACTGGGGTGAGAGCTGAGGCTTGGCTTTCGTGGTTAGAAGCCACCACACGTGCAGAGGCCTCAGGAAGGGCTCACTGGGTGCTGGGAGCCAGTGTGGGCAGGGTGATGAGTGCAGCCTTTAGCCTGACAATGAGGGGCTGTAAAGGGTACTTGCAGGAGGCTAGCCTCTGGGCCTCGGCATGGAGAGGGGAATCATGTGCTAGCCCAGCTCAGCCAGAGTGGACCCTGCTGGGAAGGACTAAAGGGAATAGGGGGGGCCCCAGGTGAGGGCTAGGTCGCAGGCAGAGATGTCCTGTGCTGCAGTGGGGAGGAGGCAGAGCTGGGACACTTGGAGGAGGGGTGAGGAGCATGCTGGGGTGGGGGGGGTGAGAAAGCAAGAGAGGTGGCCTGCTGGGGATGCCTGAGGCAGAAGACCAGGGGAGGGCTGTCTGGAGGAGGCCGAGTGCAGGCAGGGCTGCAGGGAAGGTAAGGCTGGAGATGGACCAGGGATCCTGGGAAGTGGCCAGGTGTGGGCAGGGGTCCAGGAAGGACCGGATTCCTCTTTTCCTCCCTCAGCTCGACTTTTTCCTTTCTCGTCCTTCTCTCCCTCCTCCTCTCTCGTTTCCTGCTTTATTTATTTTTTTTGAGACAGGGTCTGGCTCTGCCACCTAGGCTGGAAAGCAGTGGGAGGATCACAGCTTACTGCGGCCTCCAACTCCTGGGCTCAAGCGATCCTCCTGCCTTTGGCCTCCCGAGTAACTGAGACTGCAGGCTCCTCCACGCTCGGCTAATTTTTAATTTTTTGTTGAGGCGGGGTCTCGCCAGGCCGTCAGGCAGTTCTCGAACTCCCGGACCCAAGCGATCTTCCTGCCTTGGCCTCCCAAACTCTGGGACCACCGGCGTCACCGCGCCTGGCAGCACTCATGGTGTCACGAGTCACGGAGTTGAGCGAGAGGCCCACAGCCCGGTTCTGGAGGCCCCGGAGTCTCTGGCTGGTTCCGGGCGGGGCCCTGCGGACGTGGCTCGGTTCCGGGAGGGCTGGCGAGGCCGAGCAGCCCTCAGAGCCGCCCTGCGGGAGGCGTGAGCCCCCTGCCCCGCTCTGGGGGCGGAGCTGGCGCTCGGCGGGTCCCGGAGGCTCAGTGGGGAGGACCCGCGGAGGGACTGGGGTTGCCCGCCCGGGG